GCTACTTTCATCCAATTTAAGGGTGCGTGTTTAACTGCAAATAGATATGCTATAATTAGAGCACATGCTTGTTATATAATTTTGTTAATTTCTAGTGATCACTCTGCAAGTAAAATATATGATCCTCTTCATTTTGATTAAAAATAATCTTTAACTATAAAAATGTCTGAGTTCGATGCTACATTATCATGACCTCAACAGGTTCTGAATATTTATCTGGCATGAAGACTAAAGAGCAGAAAAAGTAATAAATGTCATACAGACCCAATGCTAGCCAAGCTTAAAAAATAAAAACCATATACAAGCATCTTAAATGGCTGCCCACCCTTCCCCATGAAAACGGAGGAATAAGACAAAGGCGTACTAAAGATTGCATTGTTACAGGTCTATTATTCCTCAACTTTTCACTTTCAATCAAGACACACATTTGTAACTAAAAAACTGCTGAAAGCACAATTTCAGGGCATCCTCTGAATGTGAATTAAACTGGGGCTTTTTTTCCCAGTGCCCCTCTCTCCCCACCCACCCCCAGCATAAGTAACAAGAGGCCATTTTCTGAAGGTCGTCTGAACGATTTCAAAGGCGATAACAAATCAAAATGTTCCCTGCATCTAATATCAAACAGGTCTGGTGCCAACACTTATTAGAGGAATCGGATTCAACCCCCCCTCCCTTCACCCAAACACACACACATCCAGCTTTGAAGTGGAAAGAATGCGGGGATCAGAAATTACCCGAGAGACAGTTCTGGCTGTCTTTGAAGCTTTCCTTTGATACTACTACTTCTTTTCCTCTCTTACGCTAGGAGGCTAAAAGCTGCCTTTTCTTATTGATATGGGGTAATTAATGAAGCCATAGCATTAACATAACCCAAGTTTCTTAACATGGTAATTCAACTGAGACATTTATGTTTCTTTGGTTAGGGCTAACAGATGCAAAATTATAAACTTGGCCAGGTAGGGATGTTAAGCCCCCACTGCAAATGTGCCATGTCATGGGTCTTGTTAGTTCCTGTACTTACAGAGAAGCGGCGTGTCATCATGCCAAGCAAATCTCAATGCAGTCTTGTGTTTATTAACAGAATTAGGCTACTAATGGCTTAGTTTATGAAAAACCTGCCCTGCAAGGATGAGCTGCATGGATTTATTTGCTCAGAAATCTGAATGGCACTAGTAATAATTGCTTCCCATGTTTGGATTCCAGTGCAGAGTAAGTATGTCCAAGTTTGAAATTAGGGGTGGCACAATGCCATCACTATAGCTACAGCTAATTAAAATGCCTCAGTATGTGGTGGATGCAATGGGCCAGCAAAGTGAGCTGAGGAAACTGCAGAATAATCAGAATATAGAATCTACTCCATGGCAAAGGCTGCCAGATCTCACTTATTTTTTTTATTTTCCTTTTGAAAAAAAATACGTCACCAAAAATTAATTGAGTTGTATAGTCGGGCAACCTGGCAAAGGCATGTTCTGCAGGTCTTGTGAATAATTCATAATATAAGTACAATCAAACTTGTATTAAACCTCCCCTGCACTTTTCAGAAATCCACCCATTCTTAATTTTTGGCCAGAATGGAGGAATCTTAAAAAAGCCAAAACAGAAATAAAACAGGTTTCAACCCATGCAAGGTTATGACCATCAGCTAAATCTATTTTTTCCATCTTCATTTTAAATCTGGTATCACTTCTCCTTGTCCATATAAAAATGGACTAGCTGCGGTAGAGGCCGATTCTTCGGAAGCTCTCACAACTCTGCCAATGTACTTCCATAACAATCTCTAAAAACCTGACTGTGCTAATCTCAGTTTTCTTGTGCAAATGCCAGACTTCAAAATAATGCCAAATAAATGGTTTAGCAATGTCCAGGTGAGACCACCACACTAACTGCATCTGTAATCCCAGCCATGCCTGGCCTCTGGTTTTTAGAGTACCAGCATGTATACCACTCCCCACAAATCTCTATTTGTGTTTTGTTCACATTTGCAGCCCAGAGGACCCTGACACCGTTTTCCTTTTAAAAATCAAAACCACACAAAAGTTGGCTATACCTCTATTCTACCTACAAGTCTCTCCCACTCCATTCTCTCCCCCTATCAACTACCAAATCCACCTTCACATATAATCCTCCAATTCTGGCATCCTTTTCCTTGCTTGGCATATTCTTGTTAGGGGGCTAGTCTTACCTGAGTTGCCTATCAGTCAGAAATTCCCTTCCTACTCTATTTCCTCCAAGATGCTTCCTTTCTACATTTTACTTTCAATGGTTATTAGATCTGCCTCCCAGAAGCACTAGCAGGATTAAGTGAATACTGTCTGTAAAGCAATTTGGCCAAGTTCAAACTTCCCTCTCTATTCAGCTTATGATAAAGACAGAAATGTAGGAACTGCCACACCACCTAAGACCACTTAGTTGAGATTGTTTGCTTCCGACTGTGAATATCATATGCATCCTGGCAATATATAAGAAATTCTAAAACAGACAATTATGAAGTAACCTGCTCATTAGGACAATATCTCCCAAATGCCCAGTGAGATTCTGAACGTTACTCTCTTTCTCTGTCTTTTATGCAAAAAACATGTTATCTGAACTCCTTATAAGCTTTTCCTTTCGCTTCTATTCCTCTGTCTCTCTTCCAAATGCTGCTTTTCTCAGCTCAGGCTGGGAACTGAAAAGCTAGAGTAGCGCTGTGAAACCTCACTCAAGTGCTTTATCCAAAGTGCCTGCTGAAAAGGAATTGGACTCAACTGTGATAGCAATTGACTATAATCGCTCGTTCCCAGCAGGGCCAATAAGTAAAATGAATCGTTGCAAGAGTACAACCCCACTCTTCCTCACCAATTACCAATGTAGTTAATTAGGGAACAACCAGGAGCCCCCTGTTTGTCAATCTACGTTCCAGTTGGCTCAAATAACAAGCTACATATTTATTCTCTGCTTCGCACCAAATCTAGTCCCAATTTAAGTGGATAAAATGGGATGGAGCTGTGCCTCTTCACACCTGCAATCAAATCTGGGCCTAAGTCCAAGATTGGTAAAGATCTGGGTTGGCCCACTGGAACTGTACGTGCATCGCCATGCAAATGACACGGATCCACTCAGACAAGGTTCTTTGGGTGATCCACTCAGCCTCTTCACTGCAGGAGTTTGCAGAGCCTGGGAGTCGAGCTAACACGATATACTACTCTTGAGACTTAACACTGACCTAACCAACTGTCCAACGCTGGGCCCCGTTTCATGAATAACCTTTATCAGTTTGCTTGTAACTAAATGTGGTATTACTATATTTCAAGGGAGCTTAAAAAGGCATGAGAATCAGACAAAATATGCCACACACCTGAGTGCCACATGATATAAGAACTTATCATCAAGCTCTATCAGTGCTTTAAGGAGAGTAAGAGTATCATTTTTCTTTGCAAGACAAACTTTTGAAGCTCAAGAAGTCAGTTTTTTTTCAGTAACATTCAGAATTTCTCTCTTGCTCCATGGTGTATAGTAGAGAGATTTTTGTTCCATATGTGTAGTTACAGCTGATTTGCATTTTTAAGCAGGCTTTAAAAAAAATACCAGGCAATTCTTGTTTTTCTATTTCCCTCTTTTTGTTTCCCCCAAAGGGGAAATTTCTCACCTGGAAAATGAAGTTGTACTTCTCTTCAGTAAATCAACTCCTAACCTCTTCTGCAGAAAAGAGGATCAAACTCAGAGCTACTGAACCTAGGGTCAGTTCGTAATGTGCTGCTATATGTTAAAACACAGTTATCTCTTTTGAAAGAAAAAAACCCCCCATCACCTCATTATAACATGGCCTATGGGTGCTGCGTACTCATCTACCTATAATGAGCTTTGTATTTTAATAGGATTCATAATAAGAAGAGAAAGCTCCAGAGAAAATGTGAAAAGCAAAGGTGCTTAGTACTTGTTACTGGCAAAGAGCGAGTCCTAGCGGGTATCTCAACAAGAGAGCCCATTCCATTCGGAGGAGAGAAACCAACTGAGCTGAAGGCTGTCAGGTCCCATTACCTTCTTCTGATGCTCTACAGAGAGCCATACGGAGTGTATGCAGTCAAAAGAAATTAGGGGGTTCAAGCAGGGTGAATTCTTCATAAAGCAAATCACTCATGGAAACAGGTTACCCCTCCTTTAATAGCTGCTGTTCAAGATGCATTATTTCCAACAAACAACTTACTGAGGACAACCAATGATTTCATTGCCGAGCTTATCAAGTTGAGTGCAAAAACTAGCCCAAGATTTCCCAGTGGCTCTCAAAAAAAGAGAAATGCTGAACCCTGGGCTATTGATGAGCTGGTACACTGACAAAAATATTCCCTCAGTAGACACTATTAATGAGGCAACTGGGGTCTAAGGTGATAAATTAGAATTTCAAGCAGGGGCATCAAGGCTTAGAGAAAAATCAGATGTTTGGGTATGAAAATTCTGAGCAAAGTATGTTAAATTTAAAGTGAAATGCTTTACACATTTAATCAAAAATGAAATGCTTTCATTTTTTAAACAAAATCCTCATAATTTCTCAAGCAAGAAGCAACTGTGGCCACCTGAAACCCAAGATCTTGCTCCTGCCTTTGTTTCAAGGTAATTTGCATCATCACAGAACCTCACAGGAGGTGAGAGGCTTCATACCAGCTATGAACCGACTGCCCGGAGGAGTTTTCCATCTATTGACTCTGTGAAATCCTATGAAATATGAACTTTCATTTCTACCCAGGAGAACTTTTACAATCTTTTCTCCAGTGCCTGATGAAGGGTGTTTATGCCCGAAAGCTTGCAATTAAAGATTATTTTTGCAAAAACCTTGTTGATCTAATAAAAGATACCATTTCTACTACAAGTCCTTACATAACATCAGAACAGATACTTAGGATGGTTTCATGTTAGCACAGACACTTGTGATGGGATCCTTCTTTTTTTTTTTTTTTTTATATGCTTTAAAAAAAGAAGACATCACAAGCATAAATTTTAAACTGCTGGAAATGCAATCAACGTACCTTGCCATCTTCGGTGTAGACGTTTTCATTATATCCTTTTACTATCGTCCGGTCAATGAAGAGACTCCGCATCACCACTATCACTTTTAGCACTTTTCCTAGGGTAACCTGTCAATTAAAGGATAACAAAACCAAAGTTGAATGAGAGCTGGTGATGTCGGCATTCACAAGGTCATGGAGTTAACAGCTCACGTCGTTAAAATTTCAGTTTGCAACATTTTACTGAAAGACTAAAATAAACATCTGAAAGATGTGTGTGTGAAGAAGAGGCAGATTAAAAGACATGGAATAAACAGTGTCATTCATTTGTGACTAAAAAATGTATGAATTCATGACATTCACTAGTGCAGACAGGACATTGTCAAGCAACTCTCTCCCACTTACCTTAACAAAACAATTCAATATGTCAAAAATAATGAGCAAATGTTATTATTTTCAACATATTTTCTATGCCTTATGCCTTCAACATTACTGCATTCTTAGAAAAATACTTTAGAAAAAAAAAGCAATTAGATTTTGCTCACCCTGCCCTTGAAATACATGTTATGGGTCTGAAGCAAAACATTTTCGCACTAATAAAAACGTAAAGCCTGAAAGCTGTTTAAAAAAGGGGAAGAAGTTACAGTGGGAAGAAGCTGGAGTTACGAAACAGAGTAAAGTAGCATTTTCAATGGTTTCTCATTTACTCTTGTAAGGGGTCAAAGTGAAGAGAGTAAAATTGGCATCAAGGGAAACAGGCAGAGGCTGGCTGAGTATAGAAACAAAAATAATCCTAAATTATATTATTGACAAAATACAATTAAGACAACATTTTAATATAAAAATCAATCTGCATTTCAAAGATTAATTTGCATTTCAAGATTGTTAACAAGATACATGTCTAACATGGATTTTTGTCTTTGTGCTTTGCTACACATACAGCCTCACAGAGTTTTCCCTCCACCATAAAAAAAACACAGAAGTCAGAACTGGAAAATACCTGCTGGTTTATTTAAATCCATCTCCCTGCAAGTGGAGGACAGCTTTCTATTATATTTTCCAGCATTTTGTCCAGTCACGATTAAAGCATACTAGAGGGACTGTGCTTCTACTGCAAACCTCAGACAATTTCATAGATTTTAGGGGCTGGAAGGGACCTTGCAGATCATGGGGTCCAGCTCCCCTGCATGTGGGTGGGAAAGACTGCTGGAGTCAGGTGATCCCAGCAAATGGATGTCAAGAGAAGATCACCAGGGTGGGTGACTGTACCACTTCTGGGGGAAGCCTGCTCCAGACCCTCGGCACTTGGCTTGTAAAAAAGTTTTTCCTTATGTCTAGCCTGAAGCCAACTTCAATCAGCTTGTGCCTATTATTTTTTGTCCTTCCCGGGGGGGCCTTGGTGAATAGATGCTCCCCCAAACCCTGATATACTTATACGCTGCATCCAAGACCCCTCTGAGTCTTCTCTTCTCCAGGCTGAACAGTCTCAAGTCCCTCAGCCTCTCCTCATATGTCTTGGTCTCCAGACCTCTAACCATGCGTGAGGCCCTCCCTCTGGACTTGTATCGAGCTTCTCCGCATCCTTCTTGAAGTGCAGACACAGTACTCCAGCTGCTGTCTCACCAAGGCCGAGTAAAGTGGGAGGATGACACCCTTTGCCCTGCTCGAGATGCCTCGGTGGGTGCATGCTAGCGTTTGGTTAGCTCTGCCAGCTACAGCATCGCATTGGTGGCTCATGTTCATTTTGTTGTCAATCGTGACACCCAGGTCTCGTTCAGTTGTGTTGCTAGCAAGCAGAGCACTGCCGAACCTGTAAATGTGTTATGGGTTATTTCTCCCCACTCTCCTTACTCTACAGAACACTGCCGAAGAGAGATCAAATCCCTGACCCAAACACATTCTTCTGCTTGAAACAAAGTCACCTAGAAAGACCCTCTTCAGGGTCAGAGCCCTGGACCTTTGGAGGACTATACTGAAGTCCCAAAGAGAAGCAGGGTCTCTAACTTGCATGTAAATGTGCAACAGCCCACTGTGAAAATCTGAGGCAGTGAGGTAAGAACATCTCAAGCACAACTGCACAGTGGACTGACTAGAGGAAGCTGTTGTAAAGCAGACTTCAAAACCCGCTGAAGGAAAGTGCAATAAGGGGGAAGGACCTTCAGCACTGGGTTGGACTGTCCATATTGGGAACTTGCTGTCTTCCTGCCCCATGTTCGGATTTCTTGATGTGTCGGGTTCTCTCCATGGTACTGGAACAGCCGAAAGCATGGCTCGTAGGTGCAGTGAGGCTGGAGTTTCATCAGTAGGTCTCAACTGGGGTGCCTTGAGACCCTATCAAGGATACCATGGAGCCAGAGCTGATGCTGTCACCACTGCAGTCAGGTTGAACTGCTGTGTTCACCTCTGTTTCCAAGACATGCCCAAAGAGCCAGGAACTCCTACTTGTAGCTGTTTCCTGCTCCGACTACAAAAGTGTCTCCTGGAAACAGGGGTATAGGTTGTAACCGTATTGGTCTAAGGACATGGGCAGACAAGATTCCTTGGATAAACCTGATATCTTTTATTAGACCAACTCAAATAGTTGGAAAAATTCTTCTTTGCAAGCTGTCAGGTACACATACTCCTGGAAACAGGTGTGCAGGACAGTTCCACCACAGGGCACCATTGCAGCAGCCTGGAGATAAATCAGGGAAGCAGAAACCTTGAACAGTGGTTCTCAACTGGCGAATGTGTAGCATGCCTGTTACGAAAGTGCCTCACCCAGTTGACAGCTGAGAACACTCATAGGTTTTTCTCATTCAATCTTGACTATTCCCAGGAGGACCAGGTGATTCTGTGTAAAGAAGAAAAGCATCTGATAACAATCCTATGTTCACATCCTCTCTGGAATAAAACTCCTGGCACTCAGTGCTGCTACTGGTGGTGAACAGGTCCATCACTGAGGGGCATCAGCTCTGTGATGCACGCTGGCAGCTATCACCGTTGCCATCACAAACAGGAGTCCACAAGATTGCTGCAAACTCCAGGAGGTGAACAGCCATTGAGCTTATTCTACACGAGTGACACGATGTCCACAACTTAATCACTTCCAGAGAAATGTGGGATGAGTGTATCTCTCCCCATTTGTTTGTGTAGTACATCGTAGACAAGCTGTTCCTCAGGCTCTGACCAATAGGTTTTTGGAGAACACATTAGAAGGCCACATCACTAGCCTAATAGCTTCAAATGCCCCAAAAAATTAAATCAAGTCTGGGAACAAGTCCCTTGAATCTTGTAGGTAGTCCAAGTAGCCCCCACCCCAACCTGTCCTGATATAACTGGTATTAAAATCATTGTCCAGGAAGGAGATGAAAATGGTATCCCTCAACCTACTTTTTTGGATTCTAGCCACTAATGCTATTCTGTGAATACCTGAGGTTGGACTATGACATTTTCATTCACTTAGTCTCTCAGCAGGACATAGACTAATGTGAGCCACAGCTGTGGGACTGCAAGTTTGGCAAGTAGTCATGTATGTGCCTATTAATATATATGGCTTAGAAGCCCAAATGTGACCCAGGGCTTAGCAGTCCCCATCAAGTCCATACTGTGAAGAGCCAGGTTTGATTACATTTTGTATACTAATACATGCAGCCAACTCAAAACATCTCTAAGAGGGTAAGAGGGCATCAGAAAGCATGGAACGACAGAGGTGGCATATTGTAAGCTTGCTACCATAGGTATGAGGTAGATTCATATCTACCGTAAAAAAGAAAGGAGATGCTGCATGGATGGCACTGCTGCCTGTCATCAACCAGAAGAGCTTATCTTAACTTCTTTATTGCAGTTAATTTATCTACAGTTGAGTTACTTCCCTTGAGTACACGCAGATGAAGGGGAAGTGTATGATGACCACTGTACAATGACCTAAGTTGCTGTGTGTACTCTGCTACTGATCTCTTGTACGTGTGACATGGAAGAAATCTGTGGGGCTGGGCAATTCAGAACTGGGAGGGCAAAACAGCGCTTAAAGCTGCTATCACTTCACAACACACTGGATTGCTTTAGGTCTATTAATGGTACAGTGTAAAATCTTACCCTTGATGCATGTCCTTTAAATTTATGTGTGGATTTTTGTTCCTTTCTCTATTACTCACACTGCTTTGCATAGCCATTACATATTTAGCTTTTAATATTCTCCTAAATCAAACCCTTTAATCCCTGATCATTTTTGTTGCTCTTCTCTGAACTCCCTCCAGCTTGTTAATATCTCTGTGGTAACAAGATGCCAAGAACTAAATGCAATGTTCCTTCCTCTTCCGTGAATAAATACCAAGAATGCCACCTTTTAATACCATCAGTCTCCATAGGCTTATGCAGTTCAGAATCTCCATTTGGCTCCACAAAATTTGTTTCCACTATGGGAACAAAGGAAACCAACATCATGCTGCCAAGTGTGCAGTCAAATATTTAAAACTAATATATTAAGAAAACCCATAAACAAATATACTGTCATTTTAAAAATCAAAATACTAAAGACTGTGGATAAATTGGAAAGATCACAAGCCTATTTTTGATTTGTCTTGTTTACAAAATAATAAACGGCAGCTTTTCTTTTAGTTTACTATTACAGTAGGCAATCATATTAAAGGACTTCATTAAATAATCATTAAATAATCCCGGAGATTCCCCACACACATGCTACTTTGCATTTATATTATTTGCCTAAAAATCATTGACATATTTTGATTTTCTAAAAACATTGAGTAGATATTGAAGACGTTAAAAGAGAGTTTCTCTAGGCAAATGAATTGTGAATTTAAGTTTATTTGGTCAGGTATTAGTAAAAGTTGTCTTTTGTGGAAATTCTAAGTTTTATAAATAATCCATTAAAAAGTAAGAGTCAACCTGATTGCTGTTAATATTATATGTGAAAATGTATTTTGTCAACAGTGAGAAGCTACGCAATGAAAAGACTGCATAAAAGTTCATTTTTGTAAGGGACGTTTCTAGGAGGCTAATCGCATATTTTCTTCACACAAAGACACACAAACATAGACACACAATCTTATATCTAAATAAATCACAACGGCTCTTATCAATCACATGCACTTTAGACAGGCAATACACTGCAATGTGATATGTTGTAA